TACTTTAATAGAGCGAGCTTCTTGAGTTCACCCCCACTTCCCTAATCAAGGCCAACGGTCATTGTTGAAGACCGACAGGGCAGGACTTCAATAGACGCTTCGCTATTTAGCAGCATTTTGCGCCATAAATTAATTTAGTTATCAATATAAAGCAACTTAGATCCCGGTTTAATTACCTTCCGGGATTTCGTTCATCAGCTGTTATGAGTTAGAACAGCTATTGTGTATCGCATGACAATTGCATTTATAAAACGCCGACTATGTTTCCCCTCAATAGTTGGCTAATTCGTCTGTAAGTAAGCGCAACTAGATGTGTAAATTCAGGGTGGATTAGCAACTAAATCTTGTGGGCGAGTTATGTCTTAATTGCTACCTATAATTATATATTAATTAAGCACGACCAATAAATTTAACTCGCATATTATTCAAATATATATGGCTTTAGCACAAACCTATTGTTTTCTTTTGTAGACGTTTAGGTGCTATTTGCGGCAAAAGGTTAATTTAACTTTTTTCTTCGTTATCCAAGATATGTTTGTGCAGTCAACTTCAATTAAGTCAGTATTTTTTTTCAAACTTTCATTTCGTGCAGAGGAAAGTTTATCGCAGGGGGTTAAGTAAGTTATATCCTAGCAACTGAGATCGTCAGACCATGTTTCCTTAGAAGAAAATAAGCCGCTGGAAGTCAGACTAGTAGGAACAGCTTATTATGTATTCAGAGGAATGGGGAATAAGCAGGAAGAAGTTTGATTTCGGAGCGTTCGACCAGCTAAGAGGCTAGCCAGTTCCTAAGTGCCGACTTAGCAGCAGGTATAACAGCGGCCAAAGACAGCCGTCATTGTCTAAGTGGGCCTTGGGTGTTAGTGGCCGGACAGAATACATCGACCAAGGTGTGCATGCGTTTTTTTTTGCCGCCACGAGAGACCAGTTTTGCAGCATCTGCGATTGGCTGTTCAGGAGGCTGCCTTCAGTGCCGGCCCAGTCGTTAGCAGCGGTGGGCCTTGGTGCATGCTTGCCTATGTGGAATGAATCAGCAAAGGTTTTTTATGTGTAGACGAATAGTTTTCAGCGATAAAAAACCTATATTCCTCTTCATTATGTGTTTCGGTGCACTATATCAGTATTATGTTTTTGAGAGAAAGGTATGTGAATGCAGTTAGAGACCATTGAATCACGTGGTTGTTGGTTTGCCAGGAATATATTGGACGTAAGGTGCTCCCCATCCAATTGATTATGGAACTAATCTGTCCCGTTGTGCATTCATGCTTATTCTTGTGTGATCGCAGCCATTCATTTGGAGGCTTCAGATACAGGATAGGCTGTAACGGAGAAAGACAATGGAGACTAGAATAGTCATTTCTGGTTTATTGGTCACCGTCATATTCCCGATCTAAACTGGCAAAGCAACAAGCCCGTGGCGCAATTGTAGAATATACATTCAATGACCAACGGTCAGGCGTTCGAAACCTGGGTGATCTACAGCTGGCATTGGGTATAACTGACGGATGACGGCTTATCCGCCAGAAATGGCCATGCCAGTGTCCTTTGTCTTTGGCAGTTCCACTCCATCGCACAGCAATTTGAAGTGGGAGCTGTTCCCTGAGCTAGTGCTGTCGGAGAACTTAACTGATGATTCTTCCATATAAGCCATTTCTTAACAAAAAAACAGTCAAGAAGGTATATTGAATTTCAGTTCTCACTTTACTCACGATTAGGTCCTTCTAGTTTCCTGGTGTGCCTAACGCAAGTAAAGAGAACCAGTTGTATTCCTTTATGAATGTCAAGTTTAAACCCTGTGACCAATTATGCATCAGTTTAGACGGGCAAATAGTGAATAAGAGAAAGCCATTCTCTGCTGATTTTAAGGACGACATTACCCAAAGCACCTTGTTTCTCAGACATACTTTGAATATGCTTGAATAAAAAAGCTGTGGTATTTTAAATGTAGTTTTGATTTAGTAGTTTAACAACCCACTACCACCTATAACGATTTACTCATAAAATTGCAGGTAAAGTCTGGTAGGCGGTCGTTTCATTAGTAACGGATGATTTTACTAGATACTTCAGTGCCTACTAAATGCAATTCAATGCCGTCGCTAGTTCAACTAGATTTTACGGACGTTTATACTTATTTCTACTAAGTCCCTTCTCTTTTCTGTTTCCCTACCCACAAAAACCCCCTCTTTCCACGGGCGCCGTAACACAGGAAGATGGGCTAGTGCGGGCATTGCGTGTACCGACTGGT